CCCCGGGGTTCCACATCCCCTGGCACCCTCGGTGGCCCCGGTGTCACCCCCCGTGTTCGCCATTCCCCCAGGGCTCAGCGTGCCCCGGGGCTCGGCCCTCAGAGCCCCCCCGAGGCAGGGGAACCCCCAGGCCGAGAAGGGGCACCGGGACCGGGCAAAGCCCCTCACCCCACCGAACCACCCCTGTGCCCACCGGCTCCCCGCAGCGCTGTGCCCCTCGGAGCTCCCACAAAGCCTCACAAGTTTCACAGTCAGTTTTCACTTGTTTGTTCCTTCCCTTTCCCGTACGGACCCTGGAAGGGCCGTGCTGGGGAGCAGGGAAGCAGCCCAGCCTCTCCTGCCCCAGACAAAGCATCCACACTCCACGTGGGGTATAATCTTCTCTGCTCACTTGCTATCACATCTAGACTCAGCAGATCACTGTGTAACAGTAAGAAGAAAGGATAAGATTATCCTGGTGAGACAGAAATAAACTTTCAGGGCCAGAAGGAGAAATACTTAGCCAAAGTATCCAAATGCTGTGAGAAGGGCCTGGACCAGTCCTAGGTCTGTACTGCAGGTTCCCCCAGGCCACCCCCTCCATCCCTGCAAAACAGGCAGGAAAAATGTGGCTGCACGTGGACAAAAAAAAAAAAAAAGAATCTGCAAGTGAACGAGAGGAGCTGAGAAATCTGGTCTGGATAAACCTTTGGGAAGACTGGAGATTACAGATCAAGTAAACACACTCTGCATAAAACTAATTTGCAGCTCTGCTGAGTAGATTAAAACCACACTAAGAGATTTTACTCCTGTTCATTTTTGCAAATTTTGGAAAGCAAAATGCTTTTGCAGGTTGTGCTCATGGGAGTTTGTAGGGCACTGCTAGGGTGGAAGCAGCCCTTGCTGCAAGCATCCGTGGGCTCCTCTGGCTTTCTACCAAAACCTTCTTGCCTCTGTTGGCCCCGCTGACCTGCCATCAATCTCCCTCCCAGCTGAAACACCCTCTTTCTCTCTCTTCCCTCAGTTATCATTTAATTCAGGAGAGCACGTCTGTGTACACGGGCTGTGAAAAAGGCCTGGCACCAAACAAAGCAGCTCTGGGCAGATTCTGAGTAGAGCTGAGACCCTTTTCTCTGCCTGTGCTACACACAACCACAGAGAGATGTTGCCATCTGATTTCTGAACAGTCAAGAGGGTTTGTATGTCATCTGATGGGAGAAAAAAAAAAGGTACATTTAAGGGGATTTTGTATTTAGGCTCCCACCAGGCATTTCTGGTTCCCTGTGCCAGGCTCTCAACACTGCCTGCTGAAGAAGGGATGGCAGCTGGCAGCCTGTGCCAGGCAGGGACCAGGGCAGCTCCACCACAGCTCCCTGCCAGCCCTGAGGGTCTCTGGCATGGACAAGTGGTGGGACATGGTCCTGGGAGCAAAGCTTCTCTGCTCCAACAGTAGAGCAGCTGTGGAAAGCTGGGAAGTGTGGCCAGGACTTGCATGAGCAGGGGCTGGGGAGAGGTGGGGGTCAGGCAGTGCCCATGGAGATCCCAGACAAATAAAGCAACTGGGCAAATATGTGTCATTACCTACAGCTTTGGCAGCACAACCTTGTTCGTCCTCTCTGGGTCTGTAGGTCACAGATCCCAGGCCCCAGTGACAGCTTGTTTGGTCTTCTAGACAGCAGGGAGAAGCACCAGCACCATTAAATCACCTTGGACAGCTGGGAGCTCCTCTAGCAACCCTGAGGCAGGAGGAACTTTTTTCACTGAAGCTGGTGGTGATATTTCCCCTGTTGGGGTATGCACAGCAGGCAGCACAGCAGCTCTTCCTCAGTCTGCAGTAACAATAATTCTCACTGCCTGGTGTTCTTTACTGGCAAAACCCATTGGAGCATGTTCCATGGGATGTGCAGTCTTCTTCAGTGAGCAGCTCCGTGGCCAAAGCCTTCATCCCAGCCCCACTCTGACCACCCACCTCTCTACGAGTTCTGCTCCATCACAGCTTCCAGCCACCAGTCACTCCTCACCACTGCTCCTTGGAGAAGTTCTCTTGCTCCCAGCATCTCTCCAGAGCTGGGGGAGAGCTGGGCTACCAGCCACGCAGGGCTCTGGCTACCAAGAGCAAGATCTGTCCCTGCTGTGGGAAAGCCACATCCTGCTGCCACATGTGGGAATACAGCCTCCAGCCTCCCCTACAGCTGGGCTGCCTTTTCCCATCTGGGGGAGTTTACATGGAGATAGGAAGTGTTATCCCTCCCACATGAAGTTTTTAGCCCTTCCTGTGGGCTGGCTAGGACCACATGATGCAAACCTCTAATAAAAATAAGGTTAGAAATGGGTGGTGTTCATGTAACCAGAACATCTAGAAAGTCTGCAGCTCCCAGCATGGAAACTTCAAATGCAAAGGCACACGATGCAAAATCCTCGATGCCTCTCTAGTGAAGCTGGCCACAAAATCCTCTTTTTCCTAGAAAGCAGGATATGCCTGCTACAGCCTCATCTGTAGTGACAGGGCCTTCCCAAACCGCCCTCCTGAGCAGCAGAAACACTCTCCTTTCATCAGGAAAAACGCTGTTCCCAGGGCAGGTCCCAGCAGATCCCCCCCCACTCCAGCTCTGGAGCTGCTCCTGCTCTGGGGCAGAGGAAGGGGTTTGCCTGCAGTCCCAGGGCAGGGGGTACCAGGGCCCAGCAGTGCTGCTCCCAGCCCAGCACAGCCCTCACACACAGTGCTGCCAGTAATTTACTCCTGTAGCTTGGGAGCAAACAGTGCTGAGTGTGATGGGGGAGAGGAAGGGGCATTAAACTGCAGCAGAAACCAAATCCTCTTCTCAAAGACCCCATTTGTATCAGCCTCCCCTAGAAACAGAACTAATGTCTCCCAGGCATCAGCTGGGAGGGGTTGCAGCATCCCTCAGCCCATGCAGAGGTGTCCTGAGCCCACACAGCTCCAGGCAGAACGCAGAAAGAGGGTGGGCTCAGCACCAGCCAGGGTGAAAGGTCTCTGGTTTTTACCCTCAGTCCTTTACACACATTTCCAGGCCTTTCTCAGGCCAGCAAGTGCAGGTAATGCTCCCCCACCTCAGGAAGCTGCTCCAAGGCACCATGGAGTGACCAGAAAGCACTTTGAGACCTTTGGATAGATAGAAAGAGGCATCAGAGAACAGGATAATGACACTCCAGGATTTGATCTCTTGGGAGTATACATTAAGGAGCCTCCCCCAGATAACACTTCCCAAGTGCTGAGGAAGCCTTTCAAGTCTGGCAGGTGAAATGAAGCTGCACGATCCATCCGAAGCAGGGCACATGGACCCTCTCATTCATTTTGGAGTGCACTGTTTCTGTTGGCTTATTTCCCTGAGTGTCCACATTGCTTTTTGCTGCTGCTTTTACTCCAGTATTGGTGGTGAACAAGTGCACATACCTGTAACTCAACTGCTGGCCTCAGCTTGGCCTCAGCTCTGATGGGTCCATCAGCCACACGTTCTGCATGAGAATGGCCTGGCCCAGGCACCCCTGGAGCTGGTGGCTGCCTGGGGCTCTGGGGACCATTCTCCACCTGGTGCCCCTGCAATCCAGACCTTCACCCTGCAGGCTCCTCTTTTATCTGGGTAAATCCTTTTCAAAAGCAAGTGCTGGCAGAACCCAGCCTGCTCCTACTGCAGAGCCACCAGTGCCACAGGGGGATTGGTGGCACTCACATGCCACCCTGCATCCCGGGAGGTGGGACTGCCAAGTTTCCTGGGGACTGTTCAAACAGGATGTTACGGGCACGTATCTCAACTTAAACTCTTCTTTTTGGATCCTGTCGCTCAACTTTCCCCAGAAATTTGGTTTGCTGCCTGGGAAATTGTTTCATGAAGTTGGCTCCCTGCTGCCACACCTCCTGCGTGCTCCCACAGGCATGTGTGTGCTGACACCATCCTTAATGAGCTCCTAAAGCATCACCAGAGAAACACAGAGAGAAGGAAAGATCAGTCCCAGGCTGCTCCTGCACAGCTAATTCCGGTGTACAAACCAGACAGAAAATTGCCTCTTTCCTTGTTTCAGCTTTTCAGCCACACAGTACAGGTGAATGAACCTTGGTGGTTAGGAAAATGTGCAATAATTAACTGCAATTCATTAACATTAGGAAAATTTACATAAGGCTGTACAGAACATTTTGAAGCCAGGGGGGAACACCGTGTTCCCACGGAGTGGCAGCCCCTGCTACCCAGGCCACACAGCTCCCTGCCTGTTTCAGTGAGGATGAACTCTTTTTGAGACACAAGTGCATCCTGCTGTTTTAAACATGCCAGTGTGGCCACTTCCCCACAGAACGTGATCAGCTCTTTCAATGTGAAAAATCTGCACCTTGTTTTCAGGTGCAAGCACCCCCAGATGCAATTTGTTCACCTCCACAGCCCTGCCCAGTCGAGGTGCACAGTTCCACCCTGGGTACTTGGAAGAGAAAATCCTCCAGCTAGGCTGGGAGGTCCAGGCAGAAGGAAAGGAAGCTTGAATGGTTTTTCCAGCCAGACCACCAGCAACCATCTCTTAACTCCTCATCATTACTGGTACTTTGATGTTCAACTTGTTTAGAAAACACTACTGGGGTATCTTCAGGATGAAAGGCACTGTAACATTTCCTGCGATCTCGTTTGCTACTCAAAGTGTCAGTAATAAACCAGAGGCCTTGTTGGCTGCTGCAGTTTCACCTTCCACAAAGGCTTTTCTGCACTGTCCCTCTGCCCACAGCCAGGGAACTCCTTGCCAGGTGAACAGATCAGACACATTCACACTGATGGTGAAATAACCGCTGGAGAGCTGATTTCCCTGCCCTTGGAAAGCTGTGAGCACCTCCCTTAAGGCGATGGAGCCTTTAATCCCTCGATCAGCTCCATTGTCCCGGGCCGGAACACACCCAGATTTCTGCATCGAGACCTTCCTCTCCACGCGGGCAGACCCGGGTTCAGGGAACAGGGGCAGGTCAGGGAACACGGGCAGGTCAGGGAACCCGGGCAGGTCAGGGAACACGGGCAGGTCAGGGAACACGGGCAGGTCAGGGAACACGGGCAGGTCAGGGAACAGGGGCAGGTCAGGGAACCCGGGCAGGTCAGGGAACAGGGGCAGGTCAGGGAACACGGGCAGGTCAGGGAACAGGGGCAGGTCAGGGAACACGGGCAGGTCAGGGAACAGGGGCAGGTCAGGGAACCCGGGCAGGTCAGGGAACACGGGCAGGTCAGGGAACACGGGCAGGTCAGGGAACACGGGCAGGTCAGGGAACAGGGGCAGGTCAGGGAACCCGGGCAGGTCAGGGAACAGGGGCAGGTCAGGGAACCCGGGCAGGTCAGGGAACACGGGCAGGTCAGGGAACACGGGCAGGTCAGGGAACACGGGCAGGTCAGGGAACAGGGGCAGGTCAGGGAACCCGGGCAGGTCAGGGAACAGGGGCAGGTCAGGGAACCCGGGCAGGTCAGGGAACACGGGCAGGTCAGGGAACACGGGCAGGTCAGGGAACACGGGCAGGTCAGGGAACAGGGGCAGGTCAGGGAACACGGGCAGGTCAGGGAACAGGGGCAGGTCAGGGAACCCGGGCAGGGCAGGGAACACGGGGAAGGTAAGGAACACGGGAAGGGCA